GGCCTAGTGTGTGTGTCTGTGTCTGTGTGTACGCGATCACTTCCTGTTTATATGATCCTGTGTAAGTCTACGGCCCCGTAAACACGTACATGTTTCGGTATTTTTGCACACGGGTAAGTGTACATTCGAGCGTGTGTGTGTGCGTTTGTGTGCGTGTATTTCAACAGATATGTACGTTTGTGTATGCATATGTCCGAGTGTATGCGATGCCTCGTGTGCGTCTGTGTATGTGTATTTGTATGTTTCAACAAACTTGTTCACCTGTATACGTATATATTCGAGCATGTGCGATGTCTCGTGTGCGTCTGTGTACGGATATTTCAACAGACTTGTATATCTGTGTACGTATATATTCGAGCGTGTGTGGTGACTTGTGTGCGTGTGTGTGCGTGTATTTGCGAGAGCGTTTCAACAGACCTGTCAATCTGTGTACTTGCATGTTAGTGTATGTGAACGTATGTACGTATACATTCGAGCGTGTGCGGTGCCTCGTGTGCGCCTCCGAACGTGCGAAGGGAGCCCGCCCATATCTCCGGTGGCTTTCTAGAGTACCTCGGCGGCTCAAGGATGCTGAACCCGACGTCTTCGCCACATATTTCCGCCTCGAGTCATCTCGGCGTGAATCTTCTGCCGCAGCCTCGGTCCGCCGCCCGGAGATGGAGGGGGGAGGATGGGGGGGAGGGGGAAGGGGGAAGGGCGGGAGGGAAGGAGGCAGACAGGACGTGGGTATGGGCTGGTGACGGGTGTATGTGTGTTTGTTTGTGTCTGTTTGTTTCTGTCTCGGTATCTTTCTCATTTTCTTTATTTTTATTTTTCTCTTTCTCTTTCTCTTTCTCTAACTCTCTCTCCCTCCCTCTCTCTCTCTCTCTCTCTCTCTCTCTCGAATAGATATATATAAGCATTTACCTGCATCCATCCAAACGTACATGATATAAACATCATAATAAGCTTTTCATAAGTCTCTCAAAATCGTGTCCTGCCTCCCCCCCCTTTCCCTCTCCCTCCTGAAAGTGTGTGTGTGTTCATAAGTCTCTCAAAATCGTGTCCTGCCTCCCCCCCCCTTTCCCTCTCCCTCCTGAAAGTGGGGGGGGGGGGGGGAGAAACGCCTGACATTCTTTGCTTCCCCGATTGATGTAGGCCGACTCCCCTTTGCCTTTCCCTCTCCTCTCTCTTCCCCTTTCCTCTTGAGGTGAGGGTCACTTCCTTCCTTTCTCTTTTCTTCTTCCCTCCTTCCCTTTCCCTTCCCTCTCTCTCCCCCTTTTCATCCCCTCTCTTCCCGCCCCCTTCCCCTTTTCCCTTCCCTTCCCTTCCCTTCGCTCTCTCTTCCCCTCTCCTTTCCCTCCCCCTTCCCCTCTTTCCTTCCCTTCGGTTTTCTTGTCTCTCTCTTTCCCTTTCCTTTTGAGGTGAGGGTCACTTCCTCCTTCCTTTCTCTTTTCTTCTTCCCTCCTTCCCTTTCCCATCCCTCTCTCTTCCTCCTTTCCTTCCCCCTTCCCCTCCCCCTCTTTCCTTCCCTCTGTCTTCCCCTCTCCTTCCTCTTCCCCTTCTCCCTTCCCTCCTGAGGCGTAGATCCTCCTCCAGGTGGGGAGTTAGGCAGGAAGACAAAAAAAAAAACAAGGAAAGTAGTTAGGTAAGCCTGGTTGCCTCCCTTCCTTTTCCTCTTCCTCCTTCTGCTCTTCCTCCTCCTCCTCCTCCCTCTTTCCTTCCCTCCGGTTCCCTCTCTCCCCCCCCCTTCCACCCTGCCGCCCCCCCCCCTCTTCTTCCTTCCCCATATAGGCCTGCTTGCCTCCTACCCCCCTACCCCCCCCCTCCTCCTCCTGGCTGGGTGGTGCCTGACAAGCGAAGCGTAATTGGTGTCAAGCATATCGGCCGCTTCCTTTTTCCTCTTCGTTTTTATGTCTTTCTTGTGTTGTTGTCTTTTTTTCTCTCTCCCTTCCTTTTCGTCTTTGTCTTCTTGATTTTTCTTTTTCTTGTTCTTTCCTCTTGTTTTGTTGCTATTTATCCCCCTCTTCGCGTCATTATCATTGTCATTATCATTATTATTATCGTTTGCTATTTATTTTCACCATTCGTATGTACTTGATCAGTTTTTATTTATTTATCTATTTGTTTATTTATTTATTTATTTGCCTTTATTGGTACTGAAAGATAATTTAGCTCTGTTTCCTTCTCGTCTCTTTCTTTCTCTTTCTTTTTTTCTCTTTTTCCCCTTTTCTTTTCCCTCCCTTCGAACCCCATTCACCCTCAACGAACTCCGTCTTGCATTAATTCCTAAAAGTTTGAAAGGCCTTCTTAGGGTTAGGTGAGAGATGACCTCACCTCTTGTGTCTTCCTGTCTTGCTATGCCTCTCTCTTTCTCTTTTTTTCTCTCTATCTTCTTTTCGTTTTTTGTCTTTCTTTCTTTTTCCTTTTTTTCTCTCTTTCTTTCTTTCTTTCTCATTTTCTTTCTTTCTTTCTCACTCTCTCTCTCTCTCTCTCTCTCTCACTTACTTTCTCTCTTTCT